CATTTTTCAGCTGGAACATCTAGGGTTCCAGTTCTAGGATGGCCACAGAGTAGATTGCCTGGGTGTGTCACTCCCTATTCTGAGGCTCCGACCCTGGCGCACCGCGATGGGCTCCCTTCTTTCCAGCTCTCGGCTTCTGTTCTACAGAGATGGAAGAGCAAGGAAATGTTCCTTACCACCTTTTCTAAACCAGATGGCAGGAAACCCTTTCTTTCTTTCTTTCTTTTTTCTTTTTTTCCCCCCATCAACGTATCCACTTGTGTGTCAAAATGCTCCTTAGGAAGGTTTTCAGAAGCAAAGTGGATAACTGCTTAGCTAAGGCAAATCATTTCACCTTAGGAGGAGAGAAGCTATTTGCACAGTTCCTGGGGGAGGAAAAGCCAGGAGCTGATGACAGACCCTTCCAATCCCGGAGACATACGTGATCCTTCGGTGGGGGTGGGGGGTTGGGGGGGAGCAGCGGGGCCACGTGGCACAGAGATGCTGAGCTGTGCTCTGCACCAGCTCCATGATGGGGCTCCTCTCCCTTCCCCAGCCCCAGTGAGTTGTACCCCACCTGGCATGGAGACAAGAGAGAGCCCACCTCCCTCGGCATAATGACATCACAGTGTCAAGTTTATAAGGCTTCCCTGTCTCCTGAAATCCCCACAACCCTACATAAGCACTCCTGGCAAGCTCTTAATAAGGTCATTTTTGTCTCTTTGCCTGCGAAGTGGAGAGATTTTCCCTGCATTTGGGGAGCATTATCACGGAGAGATGATCTGTGTTGATATAGAGGCTACGGGAGTGCGCTTGGCAGAAAAACGGCCCCCCAGACATGTCTACAACCTAATCCCTGGAACCTGTGCACCTGTTAGGTTACATGACAAAGGAGAATTAAAGTTGCTAATCGGTAGACCTGACAACAGGGAGATGACCCTGGATTGTGGGCCCAAAGTAATCAACAAGGGTGCTTACAAGCGGAAGAGGGGCCAGAAAAAGCATCAGAGGGGAATGTGGTTTTGGAAGAGGGAGTGATGGGAGGGCTGCTGACTCTGAAGATGGGGGAAGTCAAAGGGATGGATGCTATCTGGAGCCTACAGAACTGAGCTACCAAAACTTGATTTTAGCCAAGTGAGACCCGGGTCCGACTTCTGAACTACAGACTATAAGGCAATACGTTTGTGTTCCTTAAATTGATACATTTGTGGTAACTCATTAGAACAGCTGTTAGGACCTGAACGGCGCCCCCTGGCCTCCAAAGTCCTACACGGAAGTCCTACCCTTCATGACCACATCTGGAGACACCATCCTTAAAGAGGTAGAATGAAGTCATCAGGGTGGACCCTAATCCACTGTGACTGATGTCCTTCTAAGAAGAGACTGGGACCCAGACACACACCAAGGGAAGACCATGTGAAGACACAGGGAGAAGACAGCCGTCTGCCTGCCAAGGAGAGGCCTCAGAAGGAGAGCAACTCTTCTAACATCTGGATCTCAGACTTCTGGCCTCCAGAATGATGAGACAGTGCCTCTGTGTGGTTTGAGCTGCTCAGTCTGTGTTACTCAGTTTTGGCAGCTCTTGCAAATGAATATAGCAGCCACATGAAGCCAATACACCGGCTCCACAGAATTGACCTCGAAGGACCCCAAGGGCACCTGGGCAGAGGACCAATAATTGGAAAGGAGGGGCCTGTTGATGTCACCCAGGCAGAGCAGCCTGGTGGAATGGTGGGGGCCACGAGACAGAGGACACCAGCAGTGATCTGCAAATCAAAAGACACAGGGGCAGATGCTCAGAGAGCAGGAGGTAAGATCATCCACTTTTTTCCCAGGCTCACTCTGTCAGAATTTAAATGAATGAGCATCCATGATTCCTCTGATCAGCACAGGGAGGCCTTGTGGGTGGGCAAACTATGTCAGGCGCTGAGTGTGGCTTCCTCAGGACCCTGGATTTTGTGCTGTTTAAAGTCTGCTTTGGGTCCAACTGGTTCTTCTCTCCTTATTTGTTGGGAGTCCCACAAGGTAATATTCCATTTGTATGAATGCCAGGACCTCGGTCACTGAAGTTGGTAAGAATTAAACTCCATCCTTTTTTATCTTGTTATTAAAAAAATAAAGTACCTTCCTAGTCTGGGAGGTTTGAGGATTGCGGGGAGACGCATCTCTGACTCGCGATGATTATTAATCAAGAGCACGGCCCTCTGGGCTAATTCAGCGGGGGCCGAGTTGACGTTTACCTTTGCCATATCTAGGAGAAAAGGTTTTGCTAAGCAAACGCAATGTGTAAACAGCATCATAAGGAACATGTTTAACCTGCTTAAGAGAACAAACTGGCTTCAAGTAATTTAGCGGTGTTCATCTGCATCGTGACACTTAATCTGCCTTTATAATTGGGTCTATTTATATATTAAAGGAGACTCACCCAAAATGCTTCATACAATTATTTTTAAATTTTCTGATTAAACAATGTATGTCCACTGGGGATAAAACACAGACAATACCAATGCCCGCAGAAGAAACTAGAAATCATCCATACTATTCATATTCTCCCTGCCCCCATCCCTACCTGCCGCCCTCCCCCAACCTTTAAAAGACTTTGGAGTCGGATAAACCTGAATTCTAATTCTGCCTTCACCACATACTTGCTGTATCACCATGAGTAGACTTTCCACCTGCAAAAGGGGACTACAAGCAGTATTTACTTTACATGCTATCATTCAAAGAGATGACTGGTGCTCTCCTCCAAATGCAGTGCCTCGCACAGAGTAAACCCTTCCTAAATGCTGCTAGAGTGCTTCCGAGCCATGCAGAAAGGAGTCAACGTGGCTGGCATGACGGCTGTTCTTTGAAAGGCCTGCTTGCAAAGTCGGCTTTGGCTGGTGTCCGGGGGAGCTTACAATTGGGGAGAATTCCAATATTTCCTAAATAAGAGTGGCACTCTGTGCTTCAACTCTCTGTATAAATAATATGGCTTAGGCTGAACACCTGCTTTCCCTCTGGGAGTCTGGAATCCGGGTACACACCAGGGAGGGCATATGCCCACACGAACAGCCCCCAATAAAAACCCCCAGGCACTGAGTCTCTGAGTTTTCCTGGTTGACAACATTGCACACACATTGTCACAACTCCTCGCCAGAGGAGTTAAGCACATGCCACGTGATTGCACAGAGCGGGGCGCTCTTGGAAGCTCACGCCTGGTTTCCCCAGATGTGCACCATGCACCTTCTTTCTGTGCTACTGTTGGTTTGGATCCTTGTGCTGTAATAAATCATGGCTAGGAGGACAACTATACATGAGTCCCATGTATGAGGGTACTGGCAAACTGTCACACCTACGGGTCCTCTTGAGGACCTCCCACCATGTGAACCTATCTCTGGAGTTGGGCTGTGGATTCTAATCCCATTTCTACCACATACTGACTCAGGTTCCCGGCAGGACCCAGACGGCCACCTCAAGTGGGGGATCTCAAGAGCCTTCAGTGAAGGGCTATCATGAAGGCGTGAGCAGGGTCTAAGGGAAACAGAAGGGAGCAGCACAGGATCCTGGGGCTAGGGGGGACTGGCTGTTCAAACTGGTGAAACAGTAGGCGTCAGGAGCCATGGCAATCCTTACTGTTATGATGTGGACTATAGATGTGGTTTCCATTTCCTGATTATTTCTCCATTGCTTTATAGCCATCCCCAAAGAATATTCGTTCTAGAAAGAGAAAGAAAGGAGAAGGAAGGGAGGGAGGGAGGGAGGGAGGGAGGAAGGATCCATTCTTGGCTAGTAACATTTTGAATCTTCTCCTACCCTGTCCTTATGCAGGTGTTTCCAGAATCTAACACACACGGGCCATCCTGAGATTAAAGCTCCAGTTGACCAGCAAAGGGCTCTGACTTTCCTTATGTTCATCACATGGCATAATCCATGCCACCTTTCTTGGCAGCATTGTCATGAGGTGGCTGCCCAATCAAATCCCAAGTAAGGTTGAGGCCCCCTCTCTTCCCCAAGCCTGAGCCCAGGCCCCAAACCCTGAACCCCAGTTTAAGAGAAGACGGTAAATGCCCTACATGATGGGCGAATGGGCAGATGTGATTTCTCGCTGGCCCTGTGAAACCCCTGTGTGTGGCATGGCAACCAAGCACGCAGCTCTTTATTATAAACCTTGCTCCCCCCTCCCTCCACGGCACCCCCATGCATTCCCCAGAGACAGTGGAAGCAGAAGGTACATACATGAGACTATAAACTGAAGTAAATCAAAGACAGGCCTTGGGTAATGAGGCAGCTGGGAGCCCCAGGGAAGCTCAGCAGCGTCCAGAATGCAGGAGATGCTTGTAAGAACTTAAAGGCCCAGTCTTCTCCCTAGAGGGCAGGCCAAATGGCCCCACACTAGAGCAAGAATGAAGGAGAAAATCAGGTAATGGAGAGAGAACGGGTAATACATCTGGGTAGCCGATGCTGGAGGGCATTTTGAAGGGAAGCCAGAGGCAGAAACACAGGAGAATAGAGCCAGTTCCTCAGACTCCCCAGTTGCCCACAGCAACCCGTTTCCTGGTGGTCATTTACATAATGTTGCAATTGTCACTGCTGTCTGCCTCCTCTTGCAAAGGGAGGCCCCGCATCAAAGGAACACACAATAACTGCGCAGGTTAATTCAACTCTCATTAACCACTGGCAAAATAAAACCCACTTAATCACCTACTTAACTTGAACATGGAATAAAAAGGTCTATTTTGTTCGGAAGGAGCTTTCCATGAGCAGATGCCTTGCAGCTAGCCACAGCCCGCACCCTCGGGGCCGCAGGACCGGCCTGCGCCCGTGCTGTGGGCACCAAGATGCCGCCAGGTCAGAGGAGGCTGTCCTCAGGCAGGCGGGCAGCGCCAGGCAGGGTGGCAGCTGGCTCCAGCTCTGTGCTGGCCACGAGCCTGTGGGCAGGTGAACACCGCTGGACCTCCCCTTCCTCTTCTGTAAAATGAGGATAAGAAAAAAAATCCAACTTATAAAACTGTGGTGAGGGTTCAGTGAGATAATGCAAATGTCCTGGCACATTCCATAAACGCCAACAGCCAGTCCTCTCCTTACTGGTGTTTCTACTGTCACCGTGACGCAGGGCCACTCATTCATCTGAGGAACAGATTTAACTTCTCTGCCTGAATTTACTAATGGCTTCAAACAGCTTAACTGAACTTTTCTAGATATTAACACACACTGCTAGCCAAGATAAACACATCTGAGGGCCCGATTTAAGCGAAATGACTGGATAGGAGAGGCAGTGAGGCATTCCATGATCCAGTTTCAACAGACACAATCGAGAACAAACCAGATCTTCACTGAGAAAAGTTCCCTCTGGGGCAGCGCTCGTGCACACACGCTATTTTGTAATGGGAGCTTCTGCGTGCTTCCATCACTGTCTGCACACGGTGTTCTTCAGGTAAGTAGAAATCCTTTGAATCAGAGAAATCAAATTTCCCTTCTGTCTCTTACCTTCATCATCCTACTATACAACTGTCACTTTCAAGTTGATGCTAAGGTCCTAAATGGCTACCAGAGCACCAGCCATCACACTAACCTTCTAGGCAGCACGACACACAGAAAAGGCAGGTGGTAGCACTCAGTGGTCTTTTCACTCGGTGATATCTGCCCTGGGCTAGAAGGTGCCTGAGGCCTGTGTTACTTCTCACCTTGACAAATGAAGCAGCCTAACCAGGGTCCCCCCTCCAGTGTCTTTTTTCAGTCTATGCTCCAAGCACTCACTGCAGACTCAAGTCTATCTATACTTTCCTACTCCCACCTTCACAAAAGTTGTTCCCTGCACTCTCTTCTCCTTCGTCTCTATAGGTCAAATTCTCACTATACTTCTGCAATGACAGTTTGCCTGATTATGAGTGTCACCTGAGACTTAGAAAAGACACTGCTTCCTGCTTTAGACTACTGAATCTGAATCTCCATGACAGGAGCCTGGGAATCAGTGTTTCCAAAACCTCCAGGTGAGTGTCTAAGGTGGAGGTAAGGTTGTCTACACCAGATTCCCCATTACAAATACAGATATACCTGTTTCCATTTCAGAAGATCTGAGGTAAGCCTGGGATTCATTCACATTTTGACCAAACTCGTCAGGCAATGGTGATGACCTTCGGAGTCTGAGAACCTCAGCTCAAATGTATCAGCTTAAATCCTACCTCCTTCCCGAAGTCTTCCCAAGACAATTGGAGTTCACGTGCTTTCTCCTATATTCTGAGGGTTGTTCTGAGAAATAACTTCAGAACACAAACAGCGCCCACCAGGTAGCAATGCTCAATACGTGTTAACTCCTCTGATCACTTGTCTTGTTATTGTCCTTTCCAAGCAAGTGAAGCATGGCACCTCTTCCTAACCATAGGTATATCCTCCAGAGCGCCCAGAACACTACTCGACCCCAAGAGGCACTCAACGATCAGCTGTTGCATCAAATTGAGGAGGCAGTAGGTTCACCTGGGTGGCTTAGTTGTTAAGCATCTGCCTTCGGCTCAGGTCATGATCCCGGGGTCCTGGGATTGAGCCCTACGTGGGGCTCCCTGCTCAGCGGGGAGCCTGCTTCTCCCTCTCCCACTCCCCCCTGCTTGTGTTCCCTCTCTTGCTGTCTCTCTGTCAAATAAATAAATAAAATCTTAAAAAAAAAAACTTTTAAAAAAAAAATTAAGAAGGCAGTGTTTTCTGACATTTGCTTGTGGATCCAGAATAATTTTTATGTCGCGGATAACAGGTCAAAGTTCCCTACTTCTCTCCTATTCCACTTTTATAAGACTGTTTCTATGATGAAGGTCAAACATCATCCCTTTAAAAAATGATATAAGTAATATATGGATTTATAATCATGATAAAGAACACCTGAACAAGAAATAAAGTGAAGTTTATCCTGCCAGAATTACTGCCTCCCCATCCTGATCTTCTCTACCAGAGATAACCACTACTATCATTAGATTGACTCGTATACAACTGTCAGTAGACTAGCATGTCTAGTCTGTAAGATAATTTTATAGATTCACCTTAATAGACTGATGCACACCCTTTCAGAATGCTCTCCTATGCACACTAGGTTTGGTAGTTTCAAAACATGGCTATAAATTCTTTGATACTCCTGCCATTAAGAGGTGGAGCCTACCTATGTCCTGGATGGTCCTGGAGCTGCTTAGATGGAAAAGTTTGCGTTATTCACACTGTGTAACTTTCAAGGCTAGGGAACAAGGGACTGTGAGGCTTTTGCTTGTTAGCTGGAACACTCACCCTTGGAGCCCTGAAGCCACCAGGTAAGTAGGTGAGTTTGCCATGTTGTGAGGAACCCAAAACCACATGAAGAAGCTATAGGAGATCAGAATATGCCAGCCCAAAATATGCCACTTTGAAGACAAATGAGAAACAGAAGACGTGCCTGCACACAAAAGCTCTCTGCTTTCCTCTCCATCTGCAAAAACAATAGGCTCAGACTCTTAATCCCCAGAGACAAGGCTAAGGTTACTAAAATAGGCCTTATCTTGCATTAATTTTCCCACACATATTTACCTCCCTCCAGTTTGCCACCCCTGAAAGCCTAAAAACTTCCTTGTCCTTCATCTTGTCACTACCATACAAATTTGCTGTCATTCATTAAGATGCTATTATATAAACCCCAAGCTTTATCTAACTGCCCCCTTGAATGACTCATCACTGAGTTTCTCCCACGTGTATGCTCACTGCATGTGTTCATAAACTGTTTGTTTTTCTCTTGTTAACCTGTGTTTTGTAAGTTGAGTCTGCAGGGCCCTCAGCCAATGAACTTAGAAGAGTAGAGAGAAGAGAGCTTTTCTTCCCCTGCAAGGCCATGTGTACATGCTCCAGCCCCTTCAGATGGGCTGCAGCCCACCAAAACCCAGCCTTTGAGTTATTCTCAAGGCCCAGGAGCTCAAAATCTGAATGAAGACACGTGCGGATGATTCCAGCCCCCAGCCAGAGTCCACCACAGCCTTTGCAAATCTTCTGACCTGAAGCCCCAGATACTGTGAAGCAGAAGCAATCACTGTCCAGACTCTTGATCTATAGACTCCGTGAGCATAGTGAAATGGGATCTTCACAGGCCACAATGTTTTAGATGCTTTGTTATAAAGCAATAGGTAACTGAGATAGTAGGAGAGCACCCTTGGAGCATACGGCTTACAGGAATTCAACTATGCAGGCTCAGACAGAAAGAGAAAAGTAATTTTTAGAGATCCCACTTAAAAAGGGCAGGTGACTCCATCTAATGGCCACGACATATAACGAGCGTGTGCCTAGACAAGAGTGAGGATGAGCTGGGAGATGTGGGTCCTACGCTAGGGGTTCTCAGGTAGGGGAAGTACTGCCCCCTGGTGGGCATTTAGAAATACCTGGAAGAATATTTCACTGTGCAATGAAGGGAATGGGGATTATAAGCATCCGAGGCAGCGAGGTAGGGATGCTAAATGCCCATCCTGCACAGAGTCACCCACCATCAACTGTCCTGACCTAAATGTTCAGATGCTCCTGCTGGGACACACAGTTTGGTCTCAGCTTTGGAGGGCCTGTCATGGTGTGAGCATATTTATTTCTGCTTGAATAGTGTGGCCCCCAAGAGGCAACCTGCCATCCTCAGTTCGGAAGAAATTGCCTGGAGAAACAGTAATCTGCTCCAACACAATGGGAAACAATACTGAGCTGCATTTGACTTAGTAAAGATGAACTGTCTTGACTCCAAAGTGGCTCTTTCTCAAGGGATTTTAGAAATAAATTTTGCCTGCATCCAATCGTCACCTTGCTCACGGACTTGTCTAGAACATCATTCCCATGCGACATTCAGTTCTACTAAAAGGAAATATAAAGATTCCATGAATACAAATACATAGAAATGTCGAGATTTTGTGGGATTTGCTTTTAAATTATAAACACTATAGACTAGTCATATTATTTCTAAATGTTTTTAAAAACAAACAATATGTTTTGGAAATTTTGTTACTATGTCAGTCCATGAGGATCTACTCAAGTTTTCTAGACTGCTGAAATACTTTTCTATTATATTATATTGGGTACCCTGTAGTTAAACATTTACATATTGATGGACATTTAGTTGTTGCTTCCCCCCCCACACACTCTTTTGCAATCACAAGCAATACATCAGAGAAAATCCTTGTCCTTGAATTTTTGACTCACCTGAATGCATATCCTCAAGGCAGGTACCCTGGTGAGGAATTGCTAGGATGACTACCTACAAAATCTTAACAGAGCCTGCTAAATTGCCCTACAAAACAGCTGAACCAATTTCCATTCTCACCATCAGTGTTTGAGGATATCCCAATTGTCTCTGGATTTTTCCTGGGCGATTATTCAAGGGTCTCAGGAAGAGAGGTCAGGGCAAATTCTTCATCTATCGTATCAGCCGAGAGGGAAAGAATGAGTTCAGACGAATTGAATTCAGCAAGTATTTAGTGTCTCCTATAAAGCAAGCACCCTGCTGGAGGGGTCTCTAAGAGAGCTAGCAGAGTGTCTACACTTGAAGAGCTCACAATCTCTTCCACAAACAGATTTCAGACTGCTGGCATTAGAACTGGAATAGGCCAGTACAGAAGTTCTTGGTTCAGGACCTCTGAAGAGGGGGAGATGAGTCCATTGGGCCACGAAGCTTCCTCAAGAAGGTGTGCCCTGAAATGCGTTTGAAAGATGGGAAGGATTTAGTCATTCGAAGAGAATTCTGAATGGGATGGGGACACAGAAACAAATGGCAAGGGAGAGGATGGAGAAGTAGGTCGGGGGGGTGGGGTGGGGAATGGCACATGGAGATGCATGTGGCACACTGTGGGGGGCAGATGCCCTCATGGCTTTCATCCTGCTGACAGAGGGAAGAAATGGAAGCACAGGGCCAGGCTGAAATGCAGGCAAGTTCTTGCATATCAAAAAACATGCATAGCCAACACTGAATAACAAAATTAACTAGTTCAGAGAGATATCTGAAAAAGATTATTCCATAAATTGCATCTTCATTGATTTTAATAGCACAGAAAAATGAATTTTACAAGTACATTACACAGCACTTATTTGTAAATCGATGCAAAAATTGTACAACTGTGTTGGACAGCTGCTCAACCAGGAGATACAAAGTTGAGGGGAGAAAACAGGAGACAAGAACAAGAACCGTCACATGATGTGATGAGCACTGGGGGTTATACTGAACTGATTAATCATTGAACATTGTATCAAAAACCAGTGATGTACTATACCTTTGCTAATTGAATTTAAATTAAAAAATAGAAAAAAAGAGCCATGTTTTCACTGTAAATAGTTATACTGTTATAAATCCCTATTTTAAAAAATGTGTGTGTACTTGCACATGTGTGTGTATATGTTTATGTGTGTATGTGCATTTATTGTAAAGTTAAGGAAAATTAAACTATTATAAGAATTAACTACTACAATTTTTTTAAAAAGCCCTTATTATAAATGATAATGATGGTAACCATAGTAACAATAATCATCACCAGAAAAAGTATAGTATGTTTCCATAATTCTTGTAAAGTATTTTGACATTGCCAGTGTGATCTTTCATAATAACTCTGCAAGGTAAGGCAGGGAAGAAATTATAATTTTTTTGATCACCAAGGTAACAAACAAAGCAACATTAATTAGAGCAAGAGTTCTCACCGAGCCTAGATAGTCCTCCAAGTTCCACAGGGGAGAATCAGGGATTATTTTTGCGTTTTTCAATTTGCATGCTATTATGTATGTGTGACCATGTGCATTTCTCAGAGGGGGGGGGGGGTCCATGGATTCTCTAATGAATCCATAACCCCCCAAAAGTTAAAAAACTGCTGAAATAGAAAAACAGCTGTGAGTTTGACATTAACAAAATGTTTTGACATTTTTTTAAAATGTTATCGTAGGACATATAATTGAAGTCTTCTACCTGTAGCTACACAGATACATGCAAATAAAGTAATAGGCATGCATTCCACTCCTGGCTATGACGGGGTACCCAAGGCAAAATTGATCTTCCTCCCTGATGACTAAAAACTGAATATATATGTGAATGGATATTAATGGTTTTTCAGACACTGGACAACAAGCCGCACAGGAAAATTACCCTCAAAAGAAGACAAAGAAACAAAGTGGGCCCTACAATTTCTTTAGCTTACTTCCTGGAGAGAGTTTCCAGACCAGAGTCCAGTGAGAGGGAACCAAAAGAGGCTCGTGGTCCTACTGAGTTGAAAAACAGAGTGGTCCTCCTTGGGGAGGTCAAGGTGCCTGGGATTTGCATGACAAAATACCAAAGAGGAGGGACCTCTATAGGCTGAGAACTCTAAACATTTGTAGAGGGTTCCCTCAAGTCTTTGGCTGAGTATTGATCTGTGCACATGTGGGAGGAAACTGCTTGAAGCCAGGAAAGAAAAAGCAGAGTAAGAGTAGATAAAACAAACCATTGTGCCTACATAGAGTTGAGAAGAATTCATGTAGCCATTGGCCAGTGTGGAAACATGGGGCGTTAGA